GTACAAGAGTAGTATCTATTTAGAAGTGGATGTACTCAGTGGCAGGTCAGCTGGCACTACTGTAAAAGCAGGAACTTCAAGTGTACAGTACAGGGAAGAATGTTGTATGCTACCAGACAGTCACTGCCACCAGCAGAAAAATTGTTAAATGAATGGACTTGGCAGAACTGAAAGTGAACAAACCCTTTTCAAAGCCTGGTTTAAAGCCACATCCGTGCACTGTGCCTGGGAATATGAAATGAGGCAAGTGCTACATCTGTAATAAAACTTTGAGAGAAGTGTAGCCAGGAAATGAAAAGCAGCTTCTACACACATATCTAGCCTAAACATCCTGGATTCTTTCTTAACAGTTCTCCTTCTAATGGTATATTTTAAGCAGATTTAGAAATTCCAGAAACATTTATATGAACTTTAGGGAGGCAGGTATAGTTTCAGAACTTCTTGTCAGTAATTTTTTTTTTAGTTTTGGTAAGATGCTGAAAGTTTTAGGGACATTTCTGAAGGGGAGGAGAAAATTAAAACTTCTGTACAATAATAAAATGTCAATATAATATAATAATAAATATAATAAAATGTCAACTTTTCTTACTTGCCTTTGGCATGGATCAGGAGAGATTCACAGTTTGCTTTTTGACTGATATTGAATTTTTCATTTCTGGAAAGGTGTGGGCAATCAGGAAAAGCAGAATTAAATTAACTTTGTTCCAGAACAAAGCAAGTATTCCAATAGAAATTATTTCTTGACACTGGCAGAGAAATCCAAGTTCTTAAAAACAGCTGCTTTTCACACTGAGAAGTCCTCTATGAAGTTATCTTGGATATGTTGTTTTTTTATAAAAAAGGCTTGTGTAGTCATATAAACCTTGTGAATTTCAACACTGTAACTTGCAGCTGATAAAAGTATGATTCAAGGAAGTAATTCTCACCAGAGCAGAACTTAATTACCAGTTTCCCAGTCTAAATTTTCGTTATCATTAGGTGTTTGTGTAAACTCATTGCAACTTCTCCCTTTAAAATTTATAGCAGTTGTTAAAGTACATACTTGTATTTTTGAAACAAATGTAGTAAAGGAGTGAGACTTCATCTCAGTACAGGTAGATGGCATGTGCTATAGAGGCTGCTGCCAAAATACACATATTCAAGGGTTATGGATATGCATTGCTTAATTTTCTACTTAAATGAGCTGTTAATTATGATTTAATATAATTGCCTGGATTTACAAAAAAACCAACAACAACAACAACATAGTTCCTATCACGTCTGAAAATAAAGCTTTTCATTGTGGATAAAATTTTGGCCTGAAATACAACTCTTGTATGGAACCATTGTTTCACTCCTAGAAAGGCATTGAGGTGCTGAAGTGTGTCCACAGAAGGGCAACAATTTTGGTGAAGAGTCTTGAGTCCCATAAGGAGCAGCAGAGGGAGCTGGGGTTGTTTAGCCTGGAGAAAAAGAAGCTCAGGGGTGACCTTATTGCTCTCTATAAGTGCCAGAAAGGAGGGTGCAGCCATGTGTGGGTCAAGCTCTCAGGTAACAAGTGATTGCATGAGATGAAACGGCCTCTAGTTGCACCAGGGGAGGTTTAGATTGGATATTAAGAAAAAATTCTTCATAGAAAGGGTTTTTAAACATTGGAACAGGCTGTTCAGGGAAGTGTTTTGAGTTTAAATACCTGGAGGTATTTAAAAGACATGTGGATGTGGCATTTGGGGACATAGTTCAGCAGTGAACTTGGCAGTGCTGGGTTAACAGTTGGACTCGATGATCTTAAAGTGTATTCCAACCTAAACTATTCTATGAATCATGGACGGCTTTTGACCTCTTGCATTAACAGAGCAACTCACTGGATATAGGGACTGGAAATTGTAGTCTTGGGATACTTGAGTTTGGTTTCAGGCTCTGGAGTTTGCCTTGGTAATGATTACTTTAATTTCCCTAGTAGGTGAACTCCTGAGCCCCTCAGGCAGCAATGCTCTCAGTAGAAAGATGACTGCAGACAGCTTGAACAAAATGGAATTTTATTTTGCATTATATTTTCTGAAAAGTATACATTATATGGTTTTTGCTAGATGTGGTTCAGATACTGTGCTATTCTAAACACCTAATTATTGCTGTGTGTTTTTATCTTAAATTTTGGCTTAAACCTGGGCAATCAAGAGGATAAAAAAATAATTATTTATCTACAAAATAGATCTAATACTTTTAAATGAAATTCCTAAAATGAATATTCTGTATTTTGTTTCGAGTGTGCATATTCATTTCAGGTGGATCTGCTTAGTTAATAGAACACATTTTGTGCCTAACTTAATATTTAATAGATTCTTGTCTTTGCTTAATTTTTTCTGACAGCTATCAATACAGGCAATATTTTTCTCAAAACACAAAAAGATGTAATAATGAACAATTTTGGCAGATGATGTTGTTTCATACTAGAACAAGGATTTTGGAAAACTACTCTGTATAACCTTGAAAAGTTTATTCTTTAAAGGAAAATTTATGACCTTTACATAGATTCTTGTGCCCAAGAGGAAACACAAGTGAAATTATTTCAGTACATGAGGCTTAAGATTTGGCAAAAGCCTTCTGCTTTTTATGCATCAGTGAGACTGGTAAGCAAGTAATCATACAAACAAAGGCTGTAGATTATAAGGAAGCCACAAAACTGAATGCAACCTAAAAATAAACTTGGAGTTCAGCATAGATAATGTGCTTTAAATGAAGAATGCAATGTTAAGCAAAATTAAAAGGCAGGCAAGGTCTCAGAGATTACATGTGTTATTGATGGAAAGAGGCCAGACTACCAACTACCAATTATATAGTGTTGTCAGTGTAAAACACTGAAATGTGCCAGGTTTCCAGACTTCAAAAATTTTTTTTCCAACTTCATTCAGCTCTTGCTGATTAGTAACTGATTAGTAACTGATTAGTAACTGATTAGTCCTGCCCCATTCAACAGAGGACTCAGTGAGCTCTTTTGAAGTAGAGAGAAGGCAGAGGAAGCCCCTTATTCCTGACTGCCCAAATGGTTTCTAGGGCAATGCCAACTGTCCCATCCCTTCCGCAGAGGTCTCAGACGAGACCCTCTCCCTGCTCTGCTGTAGGTGGGAAAGGGATGGAAGCAAGGGAAAAGGAGCCACTGCTCTTGGGAGTGCACACTGCTGGGCCTGAGGACAGCCTGTGGACTCAGGATTGGTACTGAAGTGACAACAGCAGGTTCACAGAAAAATGTCACACAAGGAAATGTAACCCTGTTTCCCTCCTCCTGGGAAAGGGTCAGTGCAGAGGAGAGGCATGACTCCAGCCTCCTGTCTTCCCTGCTCGAGAGGGAGCTGCCTGCCTGTTCCTACAATTCCTCTGTGGTTTAATGTAAAGTACATTCTTAGGGGAGTTTTCCTGAAAAACAAAGTAAATCCAAACAATTCTTGCCACGTGTGTGAATATCCATGGTAAATAACTTGTTGAGTTAAAAGTTAACTTGTGCAATACTTGTTTTGGTAGGTCCCTCTGAAAATTCTGATGAAATAGTTTTGCATCATTAATTTATATGTGATCTTTATACAGGATATATTTATGCTTAAGGAAGTTGGTCTCCTGGATTTAGTTGTTTTCTAGGAGATTATTTTTTGTTCTATCATATGATTCGTGTGTGGTTTTTATTAAGTTAATCTCGAGATTCTCAAGAAGAATAATTCTAAGGAAAAATAAATGCCTTTTGCAATTCTTTTTTTTTTTGTCTCATGTTACCTTTTTCATGTTTCATAAAAATTGCTTAATTTTTTGGGTTTTGCATGAACTTATTCAAGGAACTAAAAAATCTGCCTAAATTAGATCAATAACTTTTAATTTACTAAAATTTACAGTCTCTATTGCAAAATAAGGCAAGTTGAATTCCATGCTAAGAATTTAAATATTGCTGTTCAGACCCCTTAAAATCACAATGATAAAAAAAGGAAGGGAGAAGTCAAAGTTTTTTTTTTTTTTTTCTCAGTGGGTTTGAAACTCATCATATACAATGTCATCTGTTCCAACTTTTTCAGAATCTGCAAAATTATATTATGGCTATCTCCAATGAAAATTAAATTTCCCATCACATCATTTACCTTTAGAAATAGGGCTTTTGAGAAAAAAACACCCCTTACCATTATAGACTATGAAATGTGTTTTTAAGTTTGGTCACCATAAGACACTTCTCATTATCATGTATTAAGATTTGATGATTGTGGACTCAGAAATATGGATGAATTAACATGACAAATTAATATTTAAGTTCTGTACACTCATGGCCACTGACTGCAATTGTTTCTAGTTCTGGAAATAGATGATAAATGTATGTATCATTAGCAATTTTTCCTGGATTTTACACCTAAGGCTGTCTTCTACTTTACATTTCACATGAGCTGACAGTTTCTATCCAATGATATGAATGGCTTAAATGATTTATAATAACTTGTTAAGATGAGGTAACGTACTATGGCTTTAAACCCAGTGATGGAAAAGTCATTGAAAAGGCATTTTGGAATCGTTATTCTATGCAGTATTGTTAGATAAATGAAGATAAGCTAGATCAAGAAAAGATATTTGCACTTTAATGTACACTTTAAATAATGAATTAGATATTTTTTTTCTTTCTCTTAGCCAGTTTATTGTTTAGTACCATGGGCTCTTGGCTTGCTTATCCTGTGTTTCCAGCTGTTGTATTTGTAGCAAACATCCGGTCCCATCCTAAAGCAAAATCCCATTTCTTTGTAACAGCTGGACTGTGACCTGAATGTTATCAATATTGAGCTTCCTCCTAGAGTCTAGTTATAATGAAAAAGCAATAAATCATGAATGTAACACTTCTGGAGCATCATAAATTAAATATATTTGCTTTACTACAGTATTTCTCTCTGTTTTGTAAAAGTGATTGCGGTTTAGAAACTGTGAAGTATTTGTGGGCAAAAGTAAACAACAACTAATGATCCCTTCTCTTCTGCAGAAAATTACATCAGCAGTTTGAGATGTATAAGGAGCAAGTGAAGAAGATGGGAGAAGAATCACAGCAGCACCAGGAGCAGAAGGGTGATGCCCCAACCTGTGGCATCTGCCACAAAACAAAATTTGCTGACGGCTGTGGCCATAACTGTTCGTATTGCCAAACTAAATTCTGTGCACGCTGCGGAGGAAGAGTGTCTCTGCGGTCAAATAAGGTATGGAGTTACGAGAGTTTAACAGCAGGTTTCTCCTAAACTCCGTGTCTCTTATTCATTGCTTATGAATCCAAATCACACAACTACTGAAACAGATTTCCTTTAAGGAGACGATATCTACTTCAGGGGATTTTAAGATATCTGTCCTCATTTCATGTAATTTCCAGTTGCATATGAATTTGTGATTATGGCTTTTAAGTTAATACATACCATTTTTTGACTAACAAACTCATGCAAGTACATTTCTTTGGCTGGAGGATGAGTCTATTTGAGAAACAGAAGTACAGCTAGTAATCTAGTGATTCTAATATTGAGACTTTGCTTATTACAAAGTAGAGTAAGGATTTGATTTTTTCCTGCTTGCCTAGGCTCTTCTATACAAGATTATTGTGGAATTAGTGTTTGAACATTATATATAATATAATATTGTGCTTTTAAATATTTATTATCTATTATACATATCCAAACATATTATGAATATTTGTATGTGCATACACAAGCGAATGTTAACTTGTTTCTGAAAAATAATTAAGTGCACTAGCATATTGTTCTGTGTATGCTGGTGTTTATTGTATAACAAGTGGTAAACCAGAAATCTGAATTCCTAAAAATGCTGAATGATAGAGTAAAAAATTCAGCACAACTGATGTAATCACAGAAAACTCTTCTGAGATAATTTTACTCAACATTTTAGATAAAATGTTCAGATCTGATAAGATCTTTTTTTTTCAGATCTTTGTCAGATTCTGACAGCTACTTGTAGAAGACATATGGCAATATTCAAGAAGTATTATGCTAGTCTTTTGTGAAAATACATATTTAAACAGTACAATATTTTATTATTCTAATGTTTATGTATTTTTTAATATAATTTATTTCCATAAGTCAATTTTTCTAGTAATATGCTCATTGCAAATACCATGCAATTGGTAAATATTATCTTTAATAAGGTAGGAGACAATAGTATCCATGTTATGTATTTCTTTGCCTAAGACTGAAAAGTAGGTTGAAATAATAGACTGAAGTTTTTGAATAACAAAGTATAAAATAACAAAAAGTATAAAAATGTAATAGTAACTGAGATTATGTAAATGTCCCGAATGCCTTGGTTTTCAATGAGGTAATTTAAAAATGTTACCTTAAGTATTTTTACTTATTTTATCTGGGTTTTTTTATAACTAAGTCATGTTCAGGTAATAAGAGAGAGATAATAATTTCTGTCTTAATTCCATCTGATTATAAAAGCCAATTTGTACAGGTATTTGAGTCATTATGCATACATCCTTAGAAAGGTAGCATTAGGAAGAATGCTTCACTTTGTAATGAAACATTCTGATACACCATTTAGATTCTGCTTGAGATGGATTATCTGAACTTGACAGATATATGTCTGACTTCTCTTGATAGATTTCCAATGAGATTCTTCCACAGAGTCTTAGGTAATTCCACTGCTTCACCATGCTCACCACAGATAGCTTTTCTTACTGTCTAACCTAAATCTGTCTTTCTAAGTCGACTTCTCCATTCAGTCTGAGACTATTCTGCAACACTTCTCAGCTGGCATTTTTTTCTAGTACTTTTGCTAATTTAGTGTGAAGCTTTCCTGCACCTCATTCATTTTTATTCTAGATAATTTATTAGTATGGTGAACAGAGTATCTCTAGACTGATCTCCTGTGAGGCTTTGCTGGTGAACACTTTCCCTTAAAAAAGCCCTGACCATTTATTCCTGTGTTTTTTTCTTGTCCTTTCATTAATTAAGTTTTCTCATGGATGAATTTATTCCTATTCCATAGAAGCTGAGATTCTTTAAAAGCCTGTAATCCCAATTGAGCAGTAGGAATACATCCCATTTTCTCACTTTCTCTGTGACTACCTGAAAGAATTCTAATACATGTAACAGAAGTGAACTCCCTCAACTAAAGCCATTCTGACTTCTCTGCATTTTATCATAATTTATTCATATGCTTGCTAATTTTATTGTGTATTTAAGTTTCTAAAAATCTGTCCAATGTGGATGGTAGACTTATTTGTCTATTCTTCAATTGATATAATGTTGAAATTCCTTAAAAATATCTTGGTATTTTTGCCAACTTTTATACTTCTTATCAATGAAAGACTGTGTTACAGTTAAGAATTTTTAGACTGGACTGTGAGTTTACACAAACTATCATTTCATTAAAAGAAATTATTGATTTTTTTTTGTTGACTCACTTTATAGCTTCTCTTTCTGAAACATCAGTTGAAAGTATATCCTCTAGCTTATTCTGCATAAAAGAATATTCTAGAGTAAATACCTTCCTAATCACTGTGAATATGAACAAAAAATATCTAATTCAGAGAAGGACTGTGGAAGTCTCCTGTTTATGCCCTGCTTTATGCCTACACTGATTATTTTATTAAAACTATTTTGGTCTACCAAAATTCATTCTTATCTCTCTTCTTTTCTGAATACAACTTCAGTTTCTTTAAGGATGACTTCTAATAACTTCCTATTTTAAATTTGCTTTTTTTTTGGTCTTTGCAGACTTTTTTTACACTTTATATCTATATCTATGTCTGCTTTGGATCTTATATAAAGTGCTAGTTACACTGTTGGAAATGTTCTTTGGTGGATCTGTTTGAGATCTTCATAATATCAAGTTTCAAGTTAAACTCCTGCCTTTTATTCCAGATTTTACTCCTAAATTGTTTAGTACAGACCATTATTAGCAGCATGCACCTCAGATGATGGAGAATTGCAAAGAATGCTCCTCTTTCAAAGGTCTCAAGGCTGACTACTGCTTACAAGGTTCATGGCCATGAGTAGGAGCAGGGAGTGGAAATGTTTTGACTGTTTTGACTGTTGTCAGAGCATTAGATTAGGATTCTCAAAATGTTTGGATGGTTTATTCCTTTTTCAGTTTCATTAAAGTGCCTTAAATATATAGACATTAGCATTCAGTTCAAGCAATGCAAAAATTATCATTATGTGGGAGTTCCTTCTAGCTCAAACAAATAAAAATGATAATGGTGGCACTTTTGCTTTTGTACAATTTATTATCTTGGTGAATGGTGCATTTAGCTAAATGGGGGCTTAAATTTCAAGGGAATAAAAAACCTTGAACAGTCACCTTTTATGTTTATGAACAGTTTCAGATTGATTAAAAATTAAATAATAAATCATGTGAGAGCAAGCAGTAACTGTTCTTAATAATGAGAGTACCACTGATATATAAAATATATTCCTGTTCTTTTTAAAAATTATATGCTAGTTTATATAGGGAAATGCACATCAAATGAGTCAGTAGACAGCAGAATGAGGTTTATGCAGGTGAGAAATCTGAATGCTAAAATGTTGGAAAAATGCAGCCTCCAGATTGATACAACATTGTGTGCAGTGAGTATAAATTTTAGCACCTCAGAATGCCAGTTCACTAAACCAACCTTTCACTTGTACAGAAAAGAAAAAAATGCTTGTCTGAAAAGTTAACTTAATGCATGCTGAATACCTTCTTTCAGGGTATTTGGCAACTTACTATCACTTGGAGCCACTGAAACATCTTTCTTTGTCTTTGAAGAACAAAAGAGATTTTCTGTTGTTTTATAGGACCCAACATCAACATGGGAAACATGTAAGGTGTAAGTAGGGAACTTCTCTCTGTTCCCCTGGTTCAGTGCAAGATTTGCATTCTGATTATTTCCCTGGGGCTGTTTGATTTTGAAAAAAACATCAAATTCCATTTGCTGAATTATTCTAAGTGAAGGGCTTGCAGTGTGATCATCTGTATGGAGTTGCAACACAAAATTGTAGTATACTTTTGGTAATGCATGAACCATTTAATTCTGTTGAGAATTAGCAAGCACTAAAGAATTTGTCTGTCACAATCAGGTTTTTAAGTCACTAGGATTTGCAATAAACTTCATGATTGGTTATTGCATACTAGTAAGTTGGTCTTTAGGAGCTGTGGTTTGGCTTTGGATTTCTCTACAAATGATGCATAACACTGCAAAAATGAGGAAGGATTCCTCTAAACAGTTTGCATGGTTTTTATTTTTAGTTTGATCCATGTAACACCTGTACAAACTGGTAACCTGCAACTGTATTCATCTCTCTGGAGGAAAAGGTATCTTTGAAAAATAAGAAAGTCAGTGATAAATTATTCCAAAGACATTCCACTTCTTGTTCAGAAGTTGTACATTAGCAATTGGAGAGTGTAAAAGTTACACTTCTCATTAGAATGAATTTCAGTCTCCACATCAATAGAATAGAATTTGTGTTATCATATACGTTGAAGACTTCCAATCTTAAATCTGGTCCTGATTATATTGGAACAATGTTAATGCCATAGCAACATCTATGATAGTTAAGACATATCTAAATGATGATCATTTAGAAATTATCCCCCCCCCCCCCCCCCCACATTTTTTTTGGTGGGACAACTCTCTTTCTT